TGCCTTGCAAAAGAAAAGAAAGATGCATATTAGCATTACCTGAGCTTCCTGGACAGCCTGCTGCTTCCCCAGAGCTCAGTGCTGGCCAAGTGTGCTCGTTCTTGTGATTCGCGTCACAGTCCTGCCCACAGGGCTTAGCAAAGATCAGGGGGCCACGGTGCTGATGCACAACAGAGACAGTCCTTGTCCTGACAGCCTGAGTGGGCCCTGCATGGGAGCGGAAACAGAGGCATGAAGCCAAAGGGTCACCAACAGCCACTTTGGTTTCTACTCAGGGCCCCATCCGCAGGACCAGCCTGCTCATGTACAGTCTCTCAGCTGCAGTGGTCAGAAACAGAGGTGGGACCAAGGGGAGAAGGCAGCAGCAAAATCTCTCTGGAGGACAGAGAGATCCCCAAGGACAGAGAGAAGATGATGCGAGAGCCAGGATTGAGGCCTTCCTATGGGAGTGGAGGATGTCCAGTAGAGCAAAGGTACCATCCTCTGCCTTCAGGCATGCACCGGCCCCCAATAATGAGGGCCAGAAGGAAACATCCTTGCAGCCAGGTTCATCCTCTTTTGCTCCTTTAGAGGTTTTTGAACCAACCCCAAAACAGCTGGCCCTGGTCACAGCTGAAGACATGGACCTACACTGGGCAGACCCCTAGGCTACACAGTATATCTAGTATAGACTTGGTGGCCCCTACCCATTAGGACAGGACCTTGCCCAGTCAAATCCTCCATCCCTGTCTAGAAGAATTAAGATCACATTTTGCTTAGGGGACCATATATCCCCTAGGTTTGTTACTCAAAGCACAGTGCAGTTGGTGTCCAGCTGTTCCCTCCCAGGCGGATATCAATGCCTTTCTCCATGGTGGTGCAGCCTGGCTCAGGAGCCCATGGATTTTTATTTGCAAAGGGCCCATTGCCTCTCCAGAGTACCCTGGGCACATCTAAGACACTGATCTCACTATGCAATTTGTTCCTCTGCAATTTGTCAGCACTTCCCAAACGTCATTAGCTTCCCATTCCATCCCATCCCATCCCCCCAACCCCCACCACCCACAGGCAATTAAATAAGTGCTGGTGCCTTCTATTACCGGTGGATATTTATGGGCACAATGAGAACAGCACGCAGAGGAGGTAGGACTGCCGGTCAGCGGAAAGCCACAACAAGCTGAACTATAAAAAGCCATAATTCACCAGCCACAAAATGAGAGGCAAGGTTTTGGATTTTTTTTCCCCCTTAGGCCTTCCAGCAAAATAACCAATAACAGATCAGAGCATTATGGAGAGAGACCTTCAGAAGGGACTGATAGCCACTCATCAGGCTAATGGACCCCATTTTCCCTACTTGTGCTCAAAAAGACCTTTACAAGGTGCAGTTGTTATGCAGGCATCCCTAGGCAGGGTCAAGGACCCAGCTAGGTTGGGATCCTGGCTGTAGCAGAGAACAGCACGCACTGCTTCAGGTGTGGGACTAGAACAACCTGCCCCCTGAGAGCCATTTCCCTAATCACAGAAAATGAGGATTGCGTGGGACCTCAGGGGGTCAGATCTAGTCCAACCCCCTGCCCAAAGCAGGACCAGCCCCAGCTAGATCATCCTAGCCAAGGATTTGTCTAATCCTGCTCTGTGAGTTGAAGCTGGAGAGCTGATGTCTGCCAGCTTGATGGCCATCCCAGCTGCCGGAAGGGCGGAGGCTCTCCTGAGCTAGACAAGTCCCAGGGCCAGCTCCTCTCACGGCCTCCGGCACATGCTCCAAACAACGCGCATGGCTCGTGCAGGCAGGATCTTCTGATTCAACAGCTGGCTTCCCTACTGGACTGCCTCCCATTTTTATTCATGCATTTGGCACTGCGGCCCAGATAGCACCCCGAGTCCTTTGCTTCTGGGGCTTTATCCTGCCCAGTGGGGTGGGGAGAGCAGAGAAAGGCTTTTTAAAATGAGTCAAGGACACCAGTGAATGAAAGAGCTGGAACAGGAGCTTCCCATTCTAAGCCCTGTCTGATTATGGCTCTGAAAACCAGCCACAACCAAAGAGGAATAATTAAGAGTCAGTTTGCCAGGCAGATGGCTGAGGAGGGATGATGAACACGCTGGTGCACCTACTTCTGTCACTCCCCCTGCACAGGCAGTGGATAACCCATTTGGATTTCTCCACAGCCATTTCCTAGCAGGGCACTGCTCAGGCAGACCTAGGTCTAAGATGAGGCACAAGCCATGGGGAATCAGTGCCAGATAGCGGTGACACCTGCACTCTCACCCGCTCCGAGCTGGTTACCATCCTACCATGCTCTTACAGATTCAGAGATGTTAGGGTCGGAAGGGACCTCAATAGATCATCGAGTCCGACCCCCTGCATAGGCAGGAATCTTGAAGACCCCCAGGGTAGGGGGAGAGCACCACCTCCCTTGGGAGGCTATTCCAGACCTTGGCCACTCTAACTGTGAAGAAGTTCTTCCTAATGTCCAGTCTAAATCTGCTCTCTGCTAGCTTGTGGCCATTATTTCTTGTAACCCCCAGGGGCGCCTTGGTGAATAAAACCTCACCAATTCCCTTCTGTGCCCCCACGATGAACTTATAGGCACCCACAAGGTCGCCTCTCAACCTTCTCTTGCGGAGGCTGAAGAGGTCCAGGTGCCCCAGTCTCTCCTCATAGGGCTTGGCCTGCAAGCCCTTAACCATAGGAGTGGCCCTTCTCTGGACCCTCTCCAGGTTATCCGCATCCCTCTTGAAGTGCGGCGCCCAAAACTGCACGCAGTACTCCAACTGTGGTCTGACCAGC